CTGCAAAATGCATGCCCTGCAGCACGGCGAACCTGCATCGTCTGAGATGGTCTCCGACAACACATGGGGCACGCGCCGTAAGTCACCACCAGCAGACGCTTTAGCCCATCGCACTGCTGTCATACTCCCTGTGCCGTAGGGAGCGTTGGCCCCAATAGTGACTGCTTTCAGCACACACGCATTTGCCCCACACCCGGCCATCGGTGTGTCGGGAAGGCTTGCTCGACGGAACGTCGTCGGCACGCTAGCCCTCCCGTGGGTAAGGCAGAGTTAGCAGGTCAGCCTTCATGTTTCAGCCAACTCACAAATGTGCAAAACTTTGCCGCAGCAGTATGCATGACGTCATTCTCAGCCGCATCGGCAACACATTAACCAGACACCGCCAGCGACATTGCTCGCCTGAAGTTTAGCGGGTTCCGGCTCCCAGCGACGCATTCATGCGGGAGTTTGGACTCCCCTAACGAAACCTCTGAAAGCCGACCGAGCTCTCGCTGCGCTGTGGACCTAGCTCAGGTTATCCCCACGCCCAGCAGGGCATGTAGGGTTTTGGGCTCAGGACTTAAAGGAACCAAATGCGATTGCAACATCCTTCGTGCTCACTTTTGGCTGCTGGGGAACCATTTTGGACCCAGCTAGCTGCGGCTGCGCTGGGCATGGGTGATTGGGCTACGTCATCGTTCCCCCCCTGGTTCTGAAATCATGTGGATCCTTCGGATTGCTTCGTTCCACCTGAACGAGCGCTGGTTTTCTTACAATCTGAGCTGCAAAAAGGGCTCCTCTCAAAACTGAGACACTTGTACAGGGACCTGTAGTACAATGGGAACCCGAGGAGAATAATTCTTGTCTTTGTTTATGTTGAATTGAGCAAGTCCCCTATGCATTGACCAAGAAATTAGAAGGATCACATGAGGAAAACGCGCCTCCTTGTTAGGAGAGGCTTGCACATGATGCCTGCATGGTACCCCTAATCCTACGGTCCGAAAAGCAGACACTCACCGAAATTCCAAAGGTACCCCAATATACCCCACCGAGTCCATGAACCAGAAACCTTTAACCCTGCGACTGCAAATATTCCCCAAGGCTCCAACAAAGGCCCAAACTTGGTACTAGTGACAGACTTTGGGGTTCAAAGTAGGTATTGCTTATAGACTTGGATCCCCAGAGTACAGCCTGACCTGGTACTGTGCTGAGGGCCTGCAGCGGGCTCGGCGCTTGCAGCTGTATCTCGATCTCAGAGTTTAGGGTTGAGGAGTATGAGAACCTGGGTTTCCTCAGAAAAGGGTCCTGTTAACCCACCATGCATACAGGGTTCCCCTTCTGTCTGAGTATATATCATGTTTTTAGGAACCCTGTTGGGGGGAACCCTGTAGGAGGGTTCTAGCGTCAGACGGTGCAGGCAAATAGTGGCGAGGGAGCACAATTGCGCGCGAGCATTCGTATCTCAACAGTGGATACCAGGACCCCCAAAAAAGCAGTTAGGATCCCCCTAAAAGTCACAACACCTCCCGCTTAATCCATGTAGCTTCTTGATTACCTGCGCAGCCATGAAGGGTCTACACGCGTAATGGTGTACTGTATGCTTGAGCTCCGAAGAGTCCAAAACCCGAAACCCTGAACCCTATGACGGTTTACCATTCGACTACCCTTGCGCATCTGCAAGCTACCAGGGCCTTGATTTTCACCTCACGGCCACCCCTTCCGCCACATCCAGAAACAATATTAGGATTATATTCGGTTATTTAGGGATAATGAAAAATAAATGGAAACTACTACAATGGGGTTATATGGGGTTTAGGGTTATGGGTATATTGGGGGTTATGTAAGAATAATAGAAAAGACGATGGAAACTACTATTGAAACTCTCATCACGGCCACCCGTTCATGGTACCCAGAATGAGGGCTCCCTCTGCGTCCTACAACATGTTCCTCTTGAAGCGGCAGACTGCATTTTTGGCAGCCCTGAGACGGATCCCAGGTGTTGACAACCAGGCACGAAGGTACTGGAACACTGTACGACCTTCATCCTGACGACTGCGAACTCACAACGCCGGGAATTTTAAGCAATCATGATACACGAGCGGCGTCGTGGTCATGAAATTTTAAGCAGTCACAGAAGAGTACCCTGGTAACAGGAAAATGTACCAAAAACAACCCAGTCGTTCAGAAGTAGATGTAATAAAGGGAATGCAGTGCTACTACGGCCTTGGAGAAGCCTACCGCCATCCTAAAAACCATTAAGCCCTGAACCCCAAAACCATAAAACCCTAGACCCGTAACCCTAAAACCCTAAATCCTAAACCCCCAGAAGCTGATTGTAGGCTCCCAGCTGCTGGTGATTCCGATGCGACGGCTGTCCTGGAACCTGCAGTTGCTGTTAGGTTGGGGGTTATACTGGGGCTATATTGGGTTTGTATAATACCCCAATAATTGAGAATCAAATGAAAAAGAAAATGAAAAATGAAATGGAAGCTGGATTATTGTGGGTTATCTTAAAATATATTGGGGTTATATAGGGGATAATGGAAATCAAAATCGAAGCTACTACAATGGGGTTATATGGGGCTTAGGATTATAGGTATATATATTGGAGCTATATAGGGGATAATGGAAAATGAAACGGAAACTACTACAATGGGGTTACATGGTGTGTAGAGTTATAGGTATATTGGGGTTATATAGGCGATGATGGAAGTGAACATGGAAACTACTACAATTGGGTTTGATGGGGTTACGGTTGTAAGTATATTGGGGTTAAATAGGGGCTAATGGAAAATGAAATGGAAACTACTACAATGGGGTTATATGGGGTTTAGACTTATAGGTATATTGGGTCTATATAGGGGAGAATGGAAAAGAAAATTGAAACTACTATAGCAGAGTACCAGGGCTAATGCAAAACGGTGATTAATGAACCCCCGCCTTGTAAGGGCCTGAATAGCAGGATCTCGATTATAATCCGGAGTATAGTCCCTACTCAGGGGAGGGGCGGGGTTTATTAGCATTACACACAGCTCATGCTTAAGGTTTGTGGTTTCGGCTTGTTTTGCGGTTTAGGTTTTAAGGTTCATGTGGGTGTGGAGTTTGAGATTGTTTTTTGTGCTTTAGTCATGCAGGGCAAGAGGGCGGGGTAAGGGTGGCAACCCCTGAACCCTAAACCCTAAACCCTGAACCCCAAACCCTAAACCCTAAACCCTGAACCCTAAACCCTGAATCCTAAACCCTAAACCCGAGGTGTGGCCTAGGATGGAGGTGGGGGGGGGGGGGGTAAGTCTGGCTTCTCAGAAACCGTGCCCATGCAGACCTGTAAGATTCTGTAGAAGTGCATGGGGTTTAGGGTGTATTTCCGAGTACATCATATCATATCACCCTAAGGGTCCAAGGACCCAAATAATGGGGTTTTAGGGCCCAAATACTATAAGATTAATGGTATTTGGGCCCTACAGTCCCATTATGAAGGTTATGTTGGAACAACACTGGTAATTACATGCTTCCACATTACCAGACCCCGAAAACCTCGAGAGCCAGTACCAAATACAAGAGAAGGGTTTAGGGTTTAGGATACCTCCAAAGTTCCCGAATTAAGTAGCCTTGACGAAGCCTAATGATCCTTAACGCCTCCACCCTCCCCCTACCTGTCCTTCAATCTGCCTTACTTGGTCCTAATGACCCTTAACCCTAATCAAAGTGGAGCCTTGAGACGGAGTATAAGTTTAGGGGACATACAGTTTAGGTAGTAGGGGAACCCCTAAACTCAAAAACTCCTAAACGCTAAACCCTAACCGGTATCCATATTTGCACTCCACGAGGCATACTACTGGGACTTCTGAAGGAAGGCCAGTTAACTAATGTGTGCCAGGGTTTAGGGTTTAGGAACGGCTTAGGGGTTTCAACCTTGGAACCCTAAACCCCTGAACCCTAAACCCTGCACCCTGACTCTTGAAATTGGGAAATCTGGCCCTCAACATTAAGCTTTAAACGCTCCAAACCTCAAACCCCATATGCACCACACAGGTGCCATAGCTGACTTGCTCCGCCATTACTTGCCTGGGAGGTTTTGGGTTTGGAGTTTCATGTTTAGGTAGGCATATTGTGAAGCACGACTGTTGTCCATGATCGTATTTGCAAGACATCATAGGATGTTACCTGGTTATAACCTGAGTCTTCCCTATCCTAGGTCTTAGGGTCTGCCGCAGGAGCAGATACGTCAAGGGCCAAACCTAGGGTCTAGGGTCTGACCCCCAAAATCCTACGAGCCCTGTAAACCCTAAGAAGCCTCCAGACCCTGTGAGAAGCTGCAAAGAAGTCCCACCAACCCTCCTGTGTGCAACAGAACAGCATGAGGCTTGGAAAATGATATGAAGCCTGGGAAGCCCGCTACTAACCTATTCTCCCCCTTAAGTAGATAGAATATGGCTTTGGGTACACTATACTGAGATCCCCATATATTCCAGATTCCATCTACTGAATGGGGACTCTCCAACCCTGCACTCTTAAACTTCGACTCTCAACCCTAAACTCTACACCCAAATCCCTGACCCAAACACAAAACCTACCCCCAAACCCCTACGCTCTATACATCTATACACCCTAAACCCTAAAACCCTAAAACCCTAAACCCTAAAACCCTAAAACCCTAAACCCTAAAACTCTAAAACCCTAAAACCCTAAACCCCTAATCCCGAAACCCTAAAACCCCCAAAGCCCTAAAACCCTCATCCCCTGGTCCGGCAGCCAAGGCTCCTTTCGAACCAGTGGGTTTGCTCCGCTGCCGGCCTCAGCCACGGCTAAGGCGGGCTGACGCCTCTGTGTAGGGAGCAGGTTTAGGGTTTAGGGTTTAGGGGCTACTGTAGGCCCTTCTGAGGATATATGAAACGGAAAGCAAACTCGAAACTACTCCGTTAAGGGTTTGGGTTTAGGGACTAGGGTAGGAACGGAGAATCACGTGCAAAAGAACTTCCACCATTGCGTGGAGACTGGGTGTACATCAAGCTGTACAGGGATTGTACTGAATGTGCGTTTGGGGGTTGCGGTATGCGGCTATAATTATGAATTATGAGCGTTCCAGGGTACTTGAAATTTCTTGTGTAGCAGTAAGTAATACTTCTAATTCAATCAAATCATAAAAAGCTGATTTGTTAGACCCACCATGCCACTTCTTGGAGGTTGGCTCCAGGGCTTCGAAGGAAGGTTCTTGCATTTGTCCAGTATTCAGTTAAACTGCCCTGAACCTCTAGGTTGGCCTGGACTAGGCCTGAAGGCCTAAACCCTAAGGCTCTAACCCTATACCCTAAACCCTGAAGCTCTAACCCTAAACCCCTAAACCCGAAGTCCTAAACGGTGCGGCTGAAAGGACGCAGCTGAGGCCACGCACGGTGTCCGTTCGGCTTCTGCTGGGCGTCCGCGGCCTTCCCGCTCTGGCTCTCCCGCACTGCCTATTTTTAAGGGTCCAAGGACCCAATAATTAGGTCCCTTTAAAGGGGATATATAGGGTTTAGGGTTTAGGGTCCATGTACCCAACAATTAGGTACTTGGGTTTTGGGTAATAGGAATTAGAGTACAGGTTTTGGTTGAGTATATGATTAGTAGGTACTTGGACCCTCAGGGTAATGTAGGAGCCGAAATATTTAAAGGTTATACTTGCAAAAGTATGTAATATGTGTTGTATATAGTAGGAGGACCCCCCCCACCCTGTAATATTGATATAATCGGAATATAATAGGACCTTATTATCCGTTAAGTCACTTACTGGTTGGGGGGTCCACCTACTGTATATACGTCTGAGATTTGCGGCTTAGGGTGTAGGGCCCTTGACAGCTAGAATACGGGGTGTGGATACTGCCCCCCACGGCCATGACAAGAGCCCTCGTTCATGGTGGAATGTTACCGCGCTGGAAGTGTTGGCGGACTAGCATAGAGGCAGTATGCCATCCACCATACCTGATGCATAGGTTATCCACAAACATTCGTTTTCTACAGAACGCACCTAAAATTTGAAGCTTCCAGTCAGGCATGTATGGATCAATTGTTCGTGGCTATCTCCGTTGATGCCAGTGCTTCAAACCATCTCTTGCCTAAACTCAGATTACATTGGGGTTATATTGGGAGAATGGAAAAGAAAATTGAAGCTACCATGTTATAGGGATATATGAGCTATAGTCTAAACTCCTAGTATCCCCCTTAATATCCCCTATAGTAGTCCCGGATATAATCCCCTATATAACCCCCATTAAGGAGTTTAGACTATGGCTCATATAGGGGTTATACAGGGGGATAGTTTCAACTTCTTGGTGTGGCCAGCTGAGCTCTGCAGGCGATACCTCACAACTTCCACTGCCATAAGCTGGACCAGAACCGCTTTTCGGAACCCTGTGCGGATCCAAAATCCACTCAAAACGTTAGGGCAGCCAAGGACTTCCGACCAAGACTTCATGCGACAAAGCCACCAATTGCTCAGTGGCAGGTATGGCTCATAAATGTGGGAAAAGCTGAGCCATACATATATATATATATGTATACATATACATGTATATATCCCTATGCACCCCTATATCTCCCTACATTATTCACCGTATATATCCTTACTTACATTACCCCTATAGCGCTGCCCCACGAATAGCTCCACATCTTCTGGCGAATGGATTTGCTGCACAAAGTTTCGAGCAACTACCAGTACACGTGGAATAAGGGTTTTGGGTTTTGGGCTACATAACCACTAGCCAAACAAACCGAGTTACGTAAATCCTACACCCTAAGCCTTTCATCCCCTAGCCCGAAATCTTATACCCCGAAGCCCTGATCCCTAGAACCCAAGCCCTAGACCTTGCTCGCCAGCCCTACACTAAACCCTAAACCCTGAACCATCATCCCTACCCTAAGCCCCGGATCATCTTGAAGGGAGCCCTATCTTCTCCTCTGCATCCCAACAAGTCCTTATGGTGGGTACCTTTCGAGGGGGTTACAAGGGTTTTTTAGGGTTTTTTTTTTGGATTTTTCGGGTTTGGGGTTTCCCAAAGTTATGGGTACCTTTAAAGGCAATATAAGGGTTATGTAAATGTTTAGGGGTTTAGGGCTTAGG